TTCCATCACCCTCAGTCCCCCCAAACCCCCTCCCCAAAACCTCCGCGCCCCCCCAAACCCCCCAACCCCTCTCCCTGTCACCCCCAGACCCCCCAAACCCCCATTCCTACGCCCCCCACCCCCTTTTATCCCCTTCCAAACCCCCATTTCCTCCCTCCCCACGCCCCCATCTCCCCCTGCCCGGCTCGGGGGGGGTCTCTGACCGTGCCCCCCCGGCCCAGCCGCGCCCCACGCGGGGCCGGATGAGGATCCATTGCCTGGAGAACGTGGAGAAGGCGCTGCGCTTCCTGCGGGAGCAGCGCGTGCACCTGGAGAACGTGGGCTCGCACGACATCGTGGATGGCAACCCCCGCCTGACCCTCGGCCTGGTCTGGACCATCATCCTGCGCTTCCAGGTGGCCCCCCCGGGACCCCCCCGCTGGGTGAAATGGGGAGGGGGCGCGGCCCGGAGCCGCCCTGGGGGGTGGTCTGTGCCCATCCTGGGTCATTTCGGGGGGTTCTGAACCCACCCTGGGGTCTCGGTTTGGTCATTGAGGTACCCCAGACCTCCCAGGGGCTCCTTCTGGGGGTCCTGCACCCGCTTCTGGGGGTCCTGCACCCGCTTCTGGAGGTCCTGCACCCACTTCTGGGGGTCCTGCACCCACTTCTGGGGGGTCGTGACCCCACCCAGGAGGGTCCAGACCTCATTTTTGGGGGTCTTGACCCCACCACGGGAGGCTTGTACCCATTTTGGGGGTCCCAGACCTGCTTTGGGGGGTTCTTGACCCTAATTTGGGGGTGTCTGACCCCATTTTTTGGGCTGCCCCCTCCCCAGATCCAGGACATCAGCGTGGAGACCGGGGACACGCGGGAGAGGAAATCGGCCAAGGACGCGCTGCTGGCCTGGTGCCAGATGAAAACCGCGGGGTGAGGGGGGCCCGGGGGGGTTTGGGGGCTCCTGGGGGGCTCTGGGGGGCTGGTGCCAGATGGAAACTGTGGGGTGAGGGGATCTCGGGGGTCCCGGGGGGGTTTGGAGGGTCCTGGGAGGACCCTGGGGTTCCTGGG